AGATTGGGTGGAGCCACCACCTCCCACCAGAGAGCGGTGAGCTCACAATGAGAAATGGCTGGGAAAAGGCTTGATGGCGAGGCATTTTATTTGGTAGAAATGGCTCTTAAGCTGCTGTGTGCAAGGATTTTTTTAAAAGACTTATTTGGGGTCCAGTACAGTAGCCTAGCCGCTAAAGTCCTCGCCTTGCACGTGCCAGTTCTAAACCTGGCTGCTCCACCTCCCATCCAGCTCCCTGTTTGTGGCCTGGAAAGCAGTCGAGGATGGCCCAAAACCTTGGGACCCTGCACCCGTGTGGGAGACCTGGAAGAGGTTCCTGACTTTGGATCAGCCCAGCTCTGGCTGTCGCAGCCATTTGGGAAGTGAGTCAATGGAAGGAAGATCTTCCTCTCTGTCTCTCCTCCTCTCTGTATATCTGACTTTCCAACATGTTGAGTTCCAGGGAGGAGGGATAGATACACACACAGAGTCTCCACCCACTGTTTCACTCCCTAAATGACTAAAATAGTCAGTGCTATGCCATGTTGAAGCCAAGAGCCAGGCACTTTATTGAGTCTCCCACATGAATGGCAGAGCCCTAGCACTTGGGCCATCCTGCACTACTTTTAAGGTACATTAGCAGGGAGCTGGATTTGAAGTGGAGCAGCCAGGATTCAAACCAATGAACCAGCGCTCTTATGGGATCCCAGTGCCAATGCTCCCAGGCCGCCTGACATGGTTTGCTCAGGAAGGGACTCAAGAGGAAACAGAACTGAGACATGTGTTGGAGAGGTACAGGGACCACCAGGATAGGGGAGTGACTATGTGTGTCGGTGGCGGGAGGGGGAACAGGTAGAAGGAGTAATAGAGTTACGCTGTTCAACCTGATTGAGGTGGCCAGCGAGCCAGAGCAGACGCAGGTGAGTCTCAGAGATGAAAAGGCAGCTTCATCCCAGGGGCTATCCCCCTGGATAGCCTGTCCAGGGGACTGTACACCAGCTTGCCACCCCATCCCCCTGAGCACAAAGGCTCACTGGGAACCAGTCTCTTAATACTGGAACTTTGCACTGATGGGCAGGGGCCTTGGCATTCAAATGAAGGGGAAGTACATGAAGTCATTATACTGATTTTCCTAAAGTACTACTTCAGCCCATTCAACTGAGCTGCAAGTTTCCCAGCGGTGCTGCAGGGTGGAGGTGACGCCTTTTCCTGTCTGCAGCATGGCTGACTCACGGTTCTAGCTTCACCTTCTTCCACCACAGATATCCTTGGCTCCTCGCAGGGAGGACCCTCCTCCCATCTTCCAACATGACCTCTCTGCTTGCCAGGAGTTCCCTAGGCCTGCCTCATTGCGCAGTTCCATCCTTTTCATACTTCAGGCCCAGACAAAATCCCATCTCTTCTGGGAAATCTTTATCACCAGTCTGAAGACATGACTTCTTTCCATGCATTCCAAAAGAATAAGCCGTGCATCCCATGCATTGCACATTCATGCACTGTCTTGTACTGTCTCCTATTCATGGGATTCTGCCACCCTGACTATGTAGCTCTTGGCTGCATGGCAAACTGCCCCAGCATTCAGTGACTTGTATGCTGCCCCTTTTACTGTCATTCTCAATTTCCAGCAGGGGCTCAGCTGGGCATGTGGAGTCAACAGGATCATCCCAGTCTGTCTCCTTTCAGGATACTCTATGACCTAACACTTCATCCATGAGGTTGACCAGACTTTGGCATTCATGTCTATGAAGGTGTCCAGGGCAACCTGACAAGAAGATTGCTTCCCCCTGGCAGCAGAGGGTATCTTTTCTGGGGTTGCTGGGCAATGTCAGGCCTCTATAAAGGAACTGATTTCTGTCGGTGAATGATTTTCACTCACATTGGAAGCCAGAATTGAGGACTCAGGACTGCCTTAGGCCCCCCCAATCCTTGAAGGTGGGTCACCTGGGAGGTCAACGCCATGGTTCTCACTAGCCTATGTTGTGCCACAATAATGAATGGCAGACTCCTTTACCCTAGGTGGGGTCCTCCACCTGCAGTGGTAAACACACACACACACACACACACAGGCTTTGCACCACCTGTTAGGGTCTCCAGAGGTGGCCATGCCAATGTTACCCTTTGAGTCCATTATTCAATCATTCCAACTGGCTTTTACCAGTAATGTTGTGTCTGGCTTCTGATCAGCCCAGTGACTTCATGGGCTACTGGGGCCAGTCTAGGGCTCTGTCAAGTGAGGGTCAGATATCCCTTGAATGCATAGAACTCTGCTGCTTGCCCCACCTACAGGCCTGTCAATTCCCTTCCTCCACTAACAGGTTTCAGTATGTGGGGCTGCGGAGTACAGTGCCTGTGGGTGGGTTTCCACGTCTATTTTTCCATTTGGCAGGCCTGTCTCCAGGGCTGGTGGGACCCTAAGCAGATACTTTCTTGAGTCTTCTCTATGTAAGTAATTTGGTTAACCATTTTTTTTAAATAAAACTCATTGACACATGTAAGGAATGGTGATTTTTCAGTGAAGATTTAGAGAGAAATGCAGTGATTAAGGTCCAAAGAATTCAAAATACACGGTTGGATGACATATTGTTGTGTCTACACCACGAAATTCTGGACAGCAAATTAAAAAAAATTTTTAAGGTTTTATTTATTTATTTTAAAGATTTATTTATTTTTATTGGAAAGTCAGATATACACAGAGAAAGAGAGACAGAGAGGAAGATCTTCCACCCAATGATTCACTGCCCAAGTAAAAGCAACGGCTGGTGCTGTGCTGATCCAGAGCCAGGAGCCAGGAACCTCCTCCTGGTCTCCCATATGGGTGCAGGGTCCCAAGGGTCTTGGGCCGTCCTTGACTGCTTTCCCAGGCCATAAGCAGTAAGCTGGATGGGAAGTGGAGGTGCCAGGATTAGAACTGGCGCCCATACGAGATCCTGGCGCATTCAGGGTGAGGACTTTAGCTACTAGGCCACCGCACCGGGCCTAGATTTTATTTATTTTTATTGGAAAGGCAGATATACAGAAAGGAGGAGAGACAGAGAGGAAGATCTTTCATCCGATGATTCACTCCCCAAGTGGCCACAACAGCTGGAATTGAGCCAATCTAAAGCCAGAAGCCAGGAGCCTCCTCCAGGTCTCCCACATGGGTGCAAGGTCCCAAGGCTTTGGGCCATCCTCCACTGCTTTCCTAGGCCACAAGCAGGGAGCAGGATGGGAAGCAGGGCCACCAGGATTAGAATCGGTGCCCATATGGGATCTCAGTGTGTTCAAAGTGAGGATTTTAGCAGCTAAGCTATCGTTTTAGACCCTGGACAGCAATTTTTTATTCACAAACTCCTGCATGCTCCAGGCAAAATCTGTAATTACTGCTACTATCAACCAAGCATAGTAACAAACTCGGTATCACTGGGAGCCAGCATTTGCTGGCAGAGTGAAGGATGAAGTGTCGTGATTAATGATGCAACCAGCACTGAATAAACGGCACTATCGATGTGGCCGGCATGAAGCAAAGGGCACCATTGATGTAACCAACTCTAAATAAATGGCATTAGGAAGCAGAGAGGCAAGAAGGGCTACAGAGATGGATCCAAACAGGTTCTGAGAGCCAGGACACAGTGAATATTAACATTGTTCCCTTTTTCTCATGGTAGCCAGAAAGTAGCCAAAAAGAACATACTTGACAATTAAAAAAAAAAAAAAATACAGCCAGAGTTCCTGGGTCCAAATAGCAAGTGACAGAGCCTGAATGTTGCAAAGAATCTTCACTTGCACTAATTGGACCTCAGACAAAAATGGAAGTATCGCTCCTCTACCACTCTAGATCTTCAGTGAAAAATCAGTGCTTTGATGCTTGTATCTGGTTTTCTTTGGACCTCATGGTTTCTCTGTGACTGAAGTCTAGGTAGTCACCCCTCTGCCCACTCCCCCTAGTCTCTTGGGGCTTTCCATGGCCTTAGGTTGACATTCTCTAAGATGACTTGTCATTCACCCTCTCCTTAACTGCTTTCCTCTGCGTCCAATGTTGTGACCGTACAGGAAGTAAACCAGTGGATGCAATACTTCTGCCTCTCCTCTCTATAAATCTGCCCTTCCAATAAAAATAAAATCTTAAAATAAATAAATAAATAAAAATATGTATGTACTTTGAAGCCGTGGCCACAGCCCACGAGATAGTTGAGGGACTCCTACCTTACCCATCCGCCGTTATCTGTGCATGGTACATTGTATACATGCTTAATCAACATTAGAGAAGGTGGAAAATTAACATCAGGGGGAAATATATATGAATGGACAGTCTCTTGGGACACAAAACCGGGTGGGATCCAGGATACTGGAAAAGAGAAGCATCGACTTGTCAAAGGAAGAGGAACATCTCCTCCCTAGAGAACTCCAGATAAGCCTGCCCAGGAAAGGTCTGCGTGGTGAAGTGTCTAAATCTTTCTAGTCGCAACCGGAATGCCCCTCTCGACCCTAGTCCAGCTCATCCTCGTTGGGGTTTTCTCCCCTTTTAGGACGCCGATGTATCTCCGTTTTCTTCCCTCGACAGGTCTTTGCGGGGCAGGGTCCCCCACCTCACGCGCAACACCTAACAAGCTTTCATTCCGTGTGGGTTTATTGCTTGGGTAACAGGAATCGAGAGGGGTGACGGGCTGAGAAGAGCCGGAGCCCGGTACGCAGCCCCTCAGCCACAGGGCATAGGGCGATCGAAGGCCATAGGGATGCCCCTCGCGCTGTCCCCACAGACACCAGCTCGCCTCGTCCCTGCTCGCCGGCCATCAGGATCTGAGGGCCTCCCCGCGCACTCCGCGACTGCCCTTCCCAATGCCTGACTCGATTCCCAAGCTAACCCTCCGCAAAAGCCTACACGGCTTCGTCCCTGGGGTGAGGTCGGACCTCTGGCTACCCTGAACATCCTCCCGCGCCGGCTTCGTTTCCTTACGGCCCTTCACTGCGACCACGGCAGGAAGGCGGGCCTGCGGGCGCCCTGGCCGGCCGGGGCAGAGGAGAGGGGGTCCTGCGGCCGGAAGCAGGAAGTCGGAAGGGGTGGTGGTGAGGACGTGTTCCCCGGACGCCGGAGGGTGAGGCCGGCGGGGCCGGCGACATGGAGCCGCTCTACCAGCAAACGCACAAGTGAGGGCCGCGGCGCGGGGCGGGCGGCCGTGAGGCCCGGGGAGGCCGTCCGCGGGGGTGGCTGGAGCCGAGTCCCTGGCGGGGTGTCCTCGAGGGCCCGGGAGACGTTAGGACGGATGGCCTGTGTGGGGTCCGGGCGGGTTGGGGGGCGCGGAGGTCGCTCCTGAGGTTCTAAGCCCCCGGCCGGCTGCTGGGTGCGCGTGGCGACCGCCGCCCGCGAGGCTCGGAGCGAGGAAAAGGAACCTTGATTCAGGTCGGACTTGGCTAGTTGCAGAACTTGCCGTGTAAGTGGCATCCACTGTTCCTGCTTGCTCGTCACATCTGGTTCCCTTTAAGGCAGTCTAATTTCGATTTGTCTTCTGTATTCTCAGTTCGTAGGTGGTGGGGTCTTTTTTTGGAGGGGAGTGGGTAGGAGGGGAGGAGATGGTCCCTATTCCGTTTTGAGGGGAAAAATATGACATTTCTTACCGTGCTTAAAATGTCACTCCCCAGTGTTGAGTGACATCGAGTACACATCAGCGCTCTGCACTTCCACGACTTTGTCATCATCCGGAACAGAAACCTGGCAGCTGTCAGGCAGTAGCTGCCTGTTCCTTCCAGGGGCCCTAGCGACGGTGCTTCTGTTTTTTGCAGACTGCCCTATTCTAGACTAACCTCCCGTGATGTTTTCAAAACCCATCCATGCTGTATGCAGCATGTCTTGGAATTTCATTTAATTTTTTTTTCAAAATTTCATTTATTTTTACTTATTTGAAAGGGGAGAGAGATCTATTCACTAGCTTATTCCCCAAGTGCCCACAGCAGTCAGGCTGTGTCCTCCGCCTGGGTGAGGAGGACCCAGCCACCTGAGCCATCACTGCTGTCTCCTGGAGTGCGCAGTGGCCGCAGGCTGGGACTGGGGGTAGAGCCAGGGCTTGGGCCATCCTCAGGAGTGTCCTGCCAGCCGCACCTGGTGCCTGCCTCTCCTAGAGATTGTTTGCATGCACCGTGTGCTGTTACCAGTCCGTCTGTTGGTGGACACCCGGACTGGTGAGAATAATGCTTGAAATGAACATGGGGCACAGCTACCTGGTTGAGTCCTGGTGGGTTTTTTTTTTTTTTTTTTTTGAGGTTTACACGCATGCCCGTCCTGTTGTGAGAACATTGACATGGATGCTGCAGCTTGGTTCTAGTGAGAACACAGGGTTTTGGGGTGAATTGGAACCTACCCCCCAGGCTCCCTGATATGTTGACTGCAAAACGCATGCCGCAGGGTGCTTGCAACAAGGCCATGAAGATCTTTGGCCCTTTGTTCTACATGTGTGGGTTTTTCTTGTTTTCCTTTGGTGATGAAGTGTTCGTTTGAGGGGGCGGATACAGAATCTACTCTGTAGTGACAGTTTGATTTTGCGCACTGGGAAACCGTATTCTCATATAAAAATGATAGGAAGGGACTGAAAAATCTGTGAGTCATTTGAAAAAGGGGTGAATAAAAGCATGCCTCTGCTAGAACAGCAGCAAAGCACAGTGAGTTTCGGGCTGTGGAGTTGATCTGTGAAGTACAGTCTCGTGTTTGGTTAATGATGTCACTAAGGAGGCTGCGACCTAGTTCATTTTTAGGATTTTTTTTTTTAAGATTTATCTATTTTCAAAACAACAAAAAAAGATTTATTTATTTTGTATTAGAAAGGCAGATTTTACAGAGAGGAGAGACCAAGAGGTCTTCCATCCATCGGCTGGTTCACTGTGTCAGTTCACAAGCATAAATCCACCAGCTACTGTGTTGCTGTGTAGGCTAGGCAGTGTTCTCTGTTGCACTTTGCTCTGGGGCCCTTGAAATAATTGCTGTCGCTTGTATTTGTTGTACAGTGGAGATAGAGACAGCAAAGTTAAAGGACTTGCTCAATGTCCTTCAGTTTGTACAAAGTGGAACTAGACCTTCGGCCTGATTCCTTAATTCCCAACCGTGCTCCCCACTTACAGAGGTCAGAGGCAGCATGGGGTGTGGGGAGGGGTCATTTGTAGGCTTTAAAAGATGGTCCCATTGTGAAAATGTTTTCTAGATCCCTTGTATATATATATATATATATATATATATATATATATTTTTTTTTTTTTTTAAGTAGCAGTGACAGCTGCAGTCCTGCTTCTCAGCTGTCCTGGGATGGCTGTCCAGGCCCACCATGCACCATGGCTAGGTGGCTGAGGCTTTCTGCAGCCCACACATGCAGATGACCTGCTCCTTATTGACTTCGGCTGACAGGTTTTCTGCTTGGTGTAGTAGTAGTTTGTATTGCTTTTACACTGATATCCTTTCAACCTGGAATTTGGAAGTCAGAATCACACTATTGCCTTTATCCTTACTTTTTTTTTTTTCTTACATTTGTATCCATAAAGCAGTATGTAGTACTGTTTTGTGTGTCTTTTTATTTATAAAGATTACTCATTTACTGTTGGATTTTTCTTCTTTTTTTTTAAGATTTGTTTTTAATTTTTATTTGAAAGGCAGAGTTACAGAGTTCTTCCACATACCGTTTCACTCCCCAGTGGCCACAATGGCTAGAGCCAAGTCCATGTGAAGCCAGTAGCCAGCAGCTGGGAGCTTCTTCCTAGTCTCCCATGTGGAGGCAGGGGTCCAAGGACTTGAGCTGTCCTTCACTGCTTTCCTGGCACACAAGCAGATCAGCCAGAACACGAACCAGCACCCATATGGGATGCTGGTGCCATAATCAGAAGGTTAGCCTACTATGCCATGCACTGGCTCCTGGATTTTTATGTTTCTTTTAGTATTTCTTAAAGATAGTCTCTTTCATTGATACTAATAGATCTTAATATTTGTAAAGATTTATGTATTTAATAAGCAGAGTTACAGTGAGAGGGGAGTCAGATCTTCTTGCATTGATCCATTCGCCAGGTGGCAGTAACAGCCAGCTGGGGCCAGGGCAAAGCCAGATCTCCCACGTGGGTGTCTTCTGATGCTTTTCTAGGTATATTAGCAGGGACCTGGATAATGCATGAAGTAGCTCAAACCACTGCTCCAAAGGGGTGTCTGCACAAATACAAGATGACAGCGTGAAGTTCTCACTCTGGTATAGGATGCTGGGCACTGTAGATGGTGGCTTAACCCACTGCTCCACAAAGCCAGACCTTCTAGTGTATTGTTGTATGTTGCATGGTTCTTGTTTGCTTGCCTGTGGACAGCAACCTGAGCTGTCAGCATTTATTTTAGCATTTATTTTAGTCCATTCTTTTCCACCTAGTTTGTATCACCAAGTTCCCAAAGGTGGAGGTCTGCTTCTGGACCCTATGTAGTCCTCTTGGTTCAGGGCTGGGGTTTGTCTATCCCTGTCTGTCTGTACCACTGTCTGTAGGTTTTTGTTTATTTGCTTTTTAAGATTTATTTATTTTTATTGCAAAGTCAGGTACACAGAGAGGAGAGACAGAGTAAGATCTTCTGTCCCATGATTCACTCCCCAAGTGACCATAACAGCTGGAGCTAGGCCGATCCTAAGCCAGAAGCCAGGAGCTTCTTCCAGGTCTCCCATGTGGGTGCAGGATCCCAAAGCATTGGGCCGTCCTTGACTGCTTTGCCAGGTTACGAGCAAGAAGCAGGATGCGAAGTGGGGCTGCTGGGATTAGAACCGACATCCATATGGGATCCCGGTGTGTTCAAGGCAAGAACTTTAGCCACTAGACCATCTTGCACAGGTCCTGCCACTGTAGTTTTAATTTTAACTTTGTAGTCAATTGTATCAGCAGAGTGTGGGGTGGGGCCACTCCTTTCGTGCTCTGCAGAGCTGTCCTAATCTTTGCTCTTCTCTCTCTCCCCCTCCCTCCCTGTGTGAGCTAGTCCTGTTGATAGTACAGCCAATTCTCGGTTTTGCTCTATTGAGCCTTTTTGAAAATTGACCTTGGGCCAGGCAGCGTGGCCTAGCGGCTAAAGTCCTCACCTTGGACTCGCCGGGATCCCATATGGGTGTCGGTTCTAATCCCGGCAGCTCCACTTCCCATCCAGCTCCCTGCTTGTGGCCTGGGAAAGCAGTGGAGGATGGCCCAAAGCCTTGGGACCCTGCACCCATGTGGGTTACCCGGAAGAGGTTCCTGGATCCTGGCTTTCGATCGGCACAGCATCGGTTGTTGCGCTGACTTGGGGAGTGAATCATCGGATGGAAGCTCTTCCTCTCTGTCTCTCCTTCTCTCTGTATATCTGACTTTCTAATAAATAAATAAATCTTTAAAAAAAAGAAAGAAAGAAAGAAAATTGACCTCGATGCTATATCCAGACCTTCAATAAAATCCTATTTTTCCTGTCCATCACTGTTAATCAGCAACTCCTCCGTAGCTGTTTGCATGGTTACCCTAATACAGACGGTGGTTCCACAAGCTGGATTGCTACACACACCTCCACCCACTCATCCCAAGGCATCCTGGCCTAATGTTGCTGAAGTGGCAGTCTGCCTCCCAGGCTCTCATAGCAACTTCTCTTGCCTGGGAGTCATCTAGCTGCCCTTGCTGCTTCTGGTGCCCTAGGTCATGTGTGGAAACCACAGAGAGGCCCTGGAAAAGGCTAGAGGCAAACTAAAGCTCAAGCTAGCACTGAGGAATTGGGAATCCAGTTTGTAACCCTCCTGGTGTGTGTGCTCACCAGGTCTGGGCATCATCAGAGAGCTCTGGAGGCCCTTTTCACATGGGCATCGATGGGGGGAGACCCGCAGCGCAAGGTGGCAGCTGTCAAGGCCAGCACAGGGCTGTCAAGGGAATAAGTGTGGGCACCACCAAGAAGATTCTGGGCGACATTGGCCAAGCACTGAGAGGCCTCATAGTGCTCTGAATCCTGACACTGAGGACCCGGTCACTTGTCCAAATGAGACAGACTCCCCGGTATTTCCTGGGAAGGATGCTTACTGAACAAGAGGTCCCTGTCTTCAGGGTCTGCAGACCATCCACCCCTCCCTGCTCTCAGGTCCACTTCCCTTTTGGGCTGAACTAGTGTGTGTTGTTCACGCGGTGTGCCTTTTTGCCTGTCCTTGTCTTCCATCTCCCAGTCCTATCTCCCATCATTGTCCAGCAATGCCCCCTCTCCACCAGATGCCCCAGCCTGTTTATGCTTAGTTGTGCTGATTTTCTCCTAGGTCTTGGGGCTTTTTCACATCTGTCTTTTCATCCTTAATTACATTGTTTCTCAGGGATGAGGATTTTTAATCTCCCTTGCCTTTTGGCTTCCCAGTGCAACTCATTGCTCAGCACATTGAGTCACAAAACAAAGGGAGACATTGGCTGGAACCACATCGGGGGTTATCACCTGCTGTGAGCAAGCTTGTGCCTGAACAAGTGATATAACCATTCTGGACTTCAGTCGTTCCTTCATGCAAGGAGCATGTTGATGGCAATTTTTCACAGGTTAGTGATTGATTTAGCAATCTTACATATGGTGAACACTCACTAAAAACAGCTCACTACAAGGCTGGTACAAGGCTCAACTTCAAGTGCCAGGATCCCTTGTGGGTCCTGGTTTGTGTCCTAGCTGCTCCACTTCCCATCTAGCTCCCTGCTTGTGGCCTGGGAAAGCAGTCGAGGATAGCCCAAAGCCTTGGGACCCTGCACCAGTGTGGGAGACCTGGAAGAAGCTCCTGGCTCTTGGCTTCGGATCAGCTCAGCTCCAGCCATTGTGGCCACTTGGGGGGTGAACCAGAGGATAGAAAAATCTCTGTCTCTCTGTAAATCTGCCTTTCCAATAAAAATAAATCAATCTCTTAAAAAAAGAAAACTGCCTACTGTGATTATTTTTAATATGAGTGTTAAGATATTAGAAGCCATGCCAAAGTACGTGGCCTAAACTGCCACACGGAAAGTTTACAATTCAGCAATTCTGTCAGTTTAATCAGTTCCGTGTTGGCATCAGAAAAACTGCAGGGCTGCTGATTGCTCCTGTCTCCCTCATTTCCTCCCTCTTCCCTGATAGGCAGGTCCACGAGATCCAGTCTCACATGGGACGCCTGGAGACAGCCGACAAGCAGGCCCTGCACCGTGAGTAATTAACTTGCCCAGCCGAACCCTTTCTCTGATGACACGGTGCTAATGGGCTGGGTTTCCTGACTGCGTTCTGCCTCGGGGCTTCGTGATTCAGCCGGGAATGAGTCTTGTTAGGGTGGACAGAAAAACCCTATGGCCGAGTCACTGATTTCCCTGATTGCGCCCTCTGGAATCCCACTGTCTGATCCCCCATTAGCCCTCCACTCAACCTGACATGGCCCTATGGGAATGGAAGCCCTTTCCCCCATCTGTCTTCATGTAATGACCTCGTCCTTAGAGGAATGCGCTCATAAAAATGCAGAGATGTTTAACTGGAATTAGCCGTTTCTGAGCCAAGAACTGTGGCTTTTTTTTTTTAGGAGGATTATTCAGAAACAAGTAGCAGCATTAGTTTAGTTTCCACACCAAAGCTTCCTCTCAGTAGCGTGCTGCTTTTTGTTTTTCAAGTTCTTTGTTTTGTTTTATTCTAAGAAAAAGCCCCTCTCCTACTTTTTTATTAATTAGATGCTCAGATACCACCTGCAGAGGCTGCCTTGTCCCCTCACTGCTTGCTCTCCGGCCCATTTCGCTTGGTTTTTGTGTTTTGTTTCACAGCTCCAAAAACATCTGGGTTCTGAGGCCCACGTGTTGTAGCTGGTGTTTGTCCAGGTCGGGCATGGGCGGGGAGCGGTGCCCCTGCTGCCACTGGTGCCGAGCGAGGCGCAGTTGGGATTTTCATGTGCAGTATAGCTCTGTCCATCGGACTGGACCTCCTCAACAGTCTCGTTATTACATGACTAGAAAAGGGAAAAAGGACATTTGACTGTCTTATCAAAGGGCTAAGGAAAATGACTATATTCATCTTATCTGCATCCCTCGTGGGTTCTTTCCTGGACCTCTCCTCTTGAGAGCTGCTCTGTTCTGGGGACTCCCACCTCACTTGGCCACCCATTCTTACTGAAAACCCTGATGGAATTCTATGAGCTTCACCCACCAATTTGCCCCTTCCTTTGTACACTTTTTTTTTTAAAACCTCATTACTAAATGGAAGTCAACTGGCCATCTTTTTTTTTTTTAAACCAATAATCCATATCTAAGACTAATCTCTAAAAAGAGACCTGAATTGGAAAATTCACCTTAAGATGTTGATTTGGGCCCTCTACATGTTCATCATATCTCCTAAGGCTAAGCTCTCTGCAGATTTCCCTTTAGCTCTTTGAGAATTGGCATTACTCATTAATACAGTTTTCTTTTGAAATGTGTTGATTAGATACAGAAAAAAATATTTATCATTCTGATTTGAGTTCATTCGTTTTCAGCAGTTACCCTTTTTTGTCTTTTGTGCAGTAGTAGAAAATGAAATCCAGGCCAGCATAGACCAGGTGTTCAGCCGTCTCGAGCGCCTGGAGATCCTGTCCAGCAAGGAGCCTCCGAACAAGAGACAGAACGCCAAACTGTGAGTGCTGAGCCCTGGCGTGACCCAAATGCCCTGGCTCCATGAGGGCAGGCTCCTCCCCTCCCCTCCCCCGGGAGGCTACAGAATATTCTGGAAGCCCTTACACATGTTGAGAAACTGGAACTCTGCAAAGATAGTCACCAAAACAGCATAGGTCTGTCTTAGACTCTTTTTTTTTTTTTTTTTTTTTGTGATTTTTTTTTTTTTTATTGTTGCTTACATTGTATTGTGTAGTACAGTTTTATAGGCGCTGGGGATTCCCCCCACCCCTCCCCATAGTCTTAGACTCTTTCACGGTGAAAAGCTGGTGTAGTTTGCGGCCCAGAAGCCCATAACTCTTAGTTGTCGTTTTGAAATTATGCCTGCAGCTCTGCCTTTCAGAGCAGGTCAATCCCTGACCGCTTGGAGCTGGTCTGGGCGGCGTGTTACCTCTTCTTGGGTTGAAATGAAATTTCATTCCTGATCATTTCCATTAGACTGTTTGTAATGAAACGCTGATCGAATGTTTGATATGCTGCCGTGAAATTAATATGAAACTGCCACATCAACTCCACCCCTAGTCCCTGTGCCCCAAAAGCTTTACGGAACCTCCCTGAACCTCCCTGAACCTCCCTGACGCTTTCACTTGAAAGCTGCCCTTAGGCTTCTGGTAGGCGAGTAATCCACAGGTCAGGAGGAGGTCAGCAACCTGCTTCCTGTCACCTGTCCCCTGTCATGCTATATCAGAGGCAGAGCCAGCAGGTATTCAGGTAAAGCTGCTGGGAGCTGTTTGCTTTTTTACTGTCAGTGTTTCTGAGGGCAGTCACTGTGCAGGGGATGGAGTGGGGAGAAGTGGGGAGTCATCCCCTACCTCAGTACAGCCTGGCCTCATCACATTGGGCCACCCTGGGCTCCTGGAATTTAATCTCTCTCTCCATCAATTCCAGTCGTGTCGACCAGTTGAAATATGATGTCCAGCACCTGCAGACTGCTCTCCGAAACTTCCAGCATCGGCGCTATGCGAGGGAGCAGCAGGAGAGACAGCGAGAAGAACTGCTGTCTCGTACCTTCACCACTAACGTAAGCCAGGCACCTGACGGATTGCTGGGCTTGGAGCTTCGCCTGAAGCAGGGTGTCTGAAGCAGGTGATGCTGAGGAGGCCAGCTGGAAATGACGCAGACTTTGTGCATGCCATGGAGCCTGCACTACACAGGCAGTCTCTTTTTTTTCCCTACATAGAAACCTGAAGAGGAAGCAGTTAAGTGGGGAATGAGCAGAGGTGAAATGACCTGGTTTGACTGGTCTGATGCAGAGAGATGGAAGTTCACCTGGTCGAAACGTTTCTCTGATCAGATAGACAGATGATTAGAAGTTAGCCCATTTGTAGGGGAGGCGGTATTTCAAAGCTGCCTTCAGGCACTGGCCATTGTGCTGGATAGGTGTGTGGTTCCAATGTCAGGTGCATTAAAATGCTTTTGCCCGTAGTCTTAGCAGCAATTTGGAGGAATTTGTTAGCAGATATTTGGGGTTTGACCGCCTGACTTGCATCTGAAAATAGCCTGTTGGTTCACATTTCTGAGTTCTGGGAGTCTGTTGTCCCTGCCCTTTAGTCTCGAGAGAGTCATTTGTTGCGTGTGGCTGGAGAATACTGTGGCCCTCCTCTGCGTCCCATAGCATACACCCCATGGAGTCGGCTCTGGAGGCGGTCCAGCTTCCACAGCCTCTGGCAGCCTTCAGATCTACTCCTGCGTCTCAGAGGTCTCACCGTCATTGCTGCCACTAGCTAGCCTCCCAAGGACGTTGGGGGCTGGGACGTGTGCTCAGGCGTTTGCTCAGCGTTGTGACACTGTGCATGCTGCAGGCCCTCACCCAGCGGTGACCAGCCCGGAGGGCAAGAGTTTAGATGAAAGGTAGTCCATGTACATAAAGAGAAAGCTCTGGTCGATTCAGACACTCGAGTTTTTTTGTTTGTCTTAAGTTTTTATTTGAAAGGCAGATTTACAGACGGAAGGAGAGACAGAGAAGGAAAGATCTTGTATCTGCTGGTTCACTCCCTAATTGGTCACAATGGCCAGAGTTGAACCAGTCCAAAGCCAGGAGCCTCTGTTGGATGTCACACGTGGGGGCAGGTCCTAACGACTTGAACCATCCGCCTCTGCTTTCCCAGGTTACAAGCAGGGAGCTGAATCAAAAGTGGAACAACTGGACTCAAACTGACACCCATATGGGATGCCAGCACCACAGGGTCAAGGATTAGTCTGTTGAGCCACGGCATCAGCCCCTAGACACTGGAAAAAAAATTTTTTTTTGGAAGATTTATTTATTTTTATTGGGAAGGTAGGTTTACAGAAAGGAGAGACAGAGAGAAAAATGTTCCATCTGCTGGTTCACTCTCAAAGTGGACGCAATGGCTGGAGCTGAGCAGACCCAAAGCTAGGCACTTCTTCTGGATCTCCCACGTAGTGCAGGGTCCCAAGGCCTTGAGCTGTCCTCTTCTGCTTTCCAGGCTACAGACAGGGAGCTAGAGGGGAACTGGAGCAGCTGGGATTAGAACTGGCGCCCATATGGGATCCTGGTACATGCCAGGCAAGGACTTGAGCCACTAGGCTACCACACTGGGCCCAGTACTGGAATCTTTTGACCCACTAAGAATTAGCTCTTTGCAGCACTAATTCTATAAGGGATTAAGACAGAAACATCTAGAAAATTAGATGATGTGACTGTTACCTGTGAGAAGCTCCCATTAGTGTGGATGATTGAAAACGTACATGGGACATGGTTGTGAACGTAAGCAGCAAACATCTTTGTGGCGGTTGAAGGTGGGGCTGAGGCTGTAGTGGTTTGCAGGAAGAGGAGGACAGTGACTGTCCGTGTGAAATGAGAGCTGTGCCAGGATTCCTGCCCTGCTAGCCTTGTACCTGGCCATGTGAGCTTGGACAAGTCACTCTACCTCCTGCGCTTTAGTGCTTTTGTGTGTCAGATGGGGTCATTCCCATGACTGTCTCTAGGTGAGTTTACTATAAAGAGCCCATAACCTGGGAAGCACTTGATCATGCAGGGTGACCCTCCCCAATGCACAAATCTGAATTCTGAAATGCTTCGGAAGCTGCAGCCTTTGGAGTGCCTGTTTGGTGTGAAGTCTGTGCGGGCATGCTGGAGCCTAAGAGAGTGGGGTCAGCAGCCAGCTGGCCCTGAGCCTTCTGTAGGGCATTTGCAGCCTGGAGTGGTTCTCCTCCCTCCATTTCCTTAGCAGGCCTTCCTCGCCTGCTTAGAACAGAACGAACCTGAGCACTTTGAGGCCTGGAATGTCCAGTCTCTTCCCAGGCCAATCGGAGCGACACATCGTAGGTCATACAGCTGAAGGATCAAAGCAGACATGAAGCTCTGTGTTAGAGGGACGCTTAGGGGCCCTTTAGAACAGGCTGGGTCAGTGAGTGCAGAGACGCCTTTAGGAGAAACACGGGGGATCTTGGGAGTCGTTTTTTCCAGGCGGAAGCGAATTACCAAGACAGTGTAACTCATTTGGTTAGGAAAGTTCTCTCCTGTGCGGAGGCAACCTCAGATCTTTGCTTTATCTTTGTTCTATTCCTCTGACTCTCAGACTGGCCCCTCTGGCTTGGCCTTGGCCGAAAGGCACAGCAGTCAGATGGCGCTTGGATCCCCAGGAGCTGAGTAGCAGGGAAGTTAACCGAGTGACTGCCTTTCTTTCACAGGACTCTGACACCACCATACCGATGGACGAATCCCTGCAGTTTAACTCCTCCCTCCAGAAAATCCACCATGGCATGGACGACCTCATTGGAGGCGGGCACAGCATTCTAGACGGCCTGAGGGCCCAGAGGCTGACCTTGAAGGTGGGGTTCCTGCTGGGGGACTTGAAAAAGGCTTCTTGTTTTGCCCTCACCCAAGCTTGGTCCTCATGTTCTGGTCCTCGTGTTGTGGTTTGTCCTTGATTGTGATACGGTGATGGTGGATCGTTGGAGAGCCTTCTTGTTGAGGGTGGAGCCCCAAGTATCCAAGCTCCTCCTCTCCCTGCCCATGTGTGAAATGAGCCATGAAGTGACCTTTGTTGGGATTTAGGTCTTTGTCCACTTACTGGCTTTAGGAGAGCAACAGCCACTGTGTAGACTGAGTCTCCAGCAGGGTCGGCTCCAGGAGGAATGGAGGTGCGGCTGTGGATACTTCATTCCAGCGTTATTTCCCCTCAGGGTCCCCGCAGGTGCTCCTGGAAGACCCCCTCGTTGGCACAGCTGGGCCTTGGTCCCCAGGGAGTGGTTTTCCACAATAGTGCTAGGCTCTGATGTCAGCTCCCATGTCCCAGCCTCGGCCCTTTTCCTGTGTCAGCCCTGCTGGCTCCCAGGGTGTGGACTCTGCTGTTATCAGGGTGTGACCCTCTGAGAACACAGCCCTCCCAGCCACTGAGCTGTGAGAAACAGTCCCTCGGAAGCGTGCGCTTTATCTCGGTTTTTGTTGGTCTGTATTGAGCCTGACAGCTCCAGGGGATTCCAGTGCGTATCTGCACAGCCCCTGCCATCCCTGCCAGGGAGAGGACCAGGCCAGCTGCCCGCTCAGAGCTGGCAGTGTTCCAGGCGACCTGTACAGGGCTCTCTGAGCGGCCCTGTGGTCCTCCCCACCGACTGCTGTTGCTGAGGCTGCTCTTTCTAGCAGAAAACTGCTAGTCTGCTTTCCCTTTCAGAAAAATCTCCCTGTTAGGACAGGGCTCCTGGGTCATGCTGAGGAAGAGCCAGGGTGGGGAGCACGGATGTCAGCCTCCTGCTTAGCCTGGCCTCACTAGCTCTGTGCAGCCCTGCCCTGCGGGGTGGCCTGTCGGGCAGCTGCGGGTGATGGCTCAGGCTCCTGACTCGCCGGCCTCTGCACGGTCAGCACTGCTTGTCCAGTCTCTTGGTCCCTCGTAGTCAGGGGCTCTCCTGCCTGAACCACGTGAAAGAATATTAGAGTGTTGGAGATAATGGCAAGGAGCGGGTAAGCACCTGATTTGGGCCAACTTGGAGCCAAAGGCAAACTTTTATTATTTATTTATTTTTTAAATAACAGTGCTTGAAATCCGTCTGAGGTGATCTTAGACTCTCGCTCTTTGCGCCTCCGGCACTGGTGAGATAATCTGCCAGAGCAAAGCAGGATCTTTCCTGGGAGTGTAACTTCACTGTTGCTGTCGTGGCAGTCTCGTCCCTCTGGTCTCTGCTGGTGGCAGTGCAGTCTGACCTGAGGCCCCGCTAGATGGGCTGGTGCTGGGGAACTGTGGGACTCGGTGCTGTTCGTAGGTGCCGTGCGCTGCGCACCTCCCTGCCTCTTCCCTTGGCCAGCGGGTGGGCAGCAGCAGGTTAGCCGCCACCCATACACCACATTCCAGCAGCTTGGTGTCTGCCCCAGCGTTCATTGCTTTACTTCTGTGACCTGTTAGGGAATTAGTGTGCTTAATGGAAATCAGAAAGCTAGGAAGAAGGGCAGGCTGGGTAGTTTGGGCTGTTGGTTTAAGAATAAAGTGCCCTTCGGTTTTGGAGGTGTAGGGTGACATCCCTAGAGAAGTTTGAGGTCTCTAGGCCTGTCTCTCGTGACTGTCTATGCCTCGTTTCCCTCTTCACCCCACTTCAGTCCGTCTCACTCAGAAGAACCCCCAAGACTCTGCTCAGAGTGTCGCCAGGTTTGTGGCACAGAAGAAGGTTGCCAGCACTGCCTCTTTTTATTTTAAACTATGAAGTATTGTCATTTAAAAATTGTGTTGTTGAGGTGTGTCTGTAGGGTGAGGGGTTTGTGCAGTTGGTGAATTTGCCACCCGCATGCTCCCTGCTGTGTAACTTGCACTCCCTTTAGGATGGGCACATTTCCATTGCCCCTGGAAGCCTCCTTCCTCATCCTCTGGCCCTCTGGCCACCGCTCTTGAGTCAGCTTCCTACACGGTGTTTATACTGTTGTGTTGTGTGTGTCCATGTTTGGTTTAGCCATGCTCTAGTTGATGAGCACTGAGCTTATTTTCCGGCTTTTAGATGTTATCCTTTTTGGTTTTTCTCGATGCTTTATTATAGTTTTGGCCATTACACTTAATTCTGTAATCTGTCTCAAGTGATTATATATGGTAGGAATCAAGGTTCAGTTTTTATGAACACACATGTATGAGACAGGTATGTGTATCCCAGGGTGATCTGTGTGTGAGGCAGCCGGTAGCCCAAGCCCCGTCTGTCGGGGAGACTTTGCCTTCACCCTTGGATCGCTCTGGAGCCTTGATTGGAACCTGTGCACCGACAGGAGGCACCCCCTCCTCCTGGCTGCGGCTGCTGCTGCTTTCCACCTGCTCCAGGCCTGACCGAGAGCGGCAGTGCAGCCAGCAGCTCGGAGCTAGCTCATCTTCGTCCTGTCTGCTTGTCTGCCCAGGGCACCCAGAAGAAGATCCTCGACATTGCCAACATGCTGGGCTTGTCCAACACGGTGATGCGACTGATCGAGAAGCGGGCCTTCCAGGACAAGTACTTCATGCTCGGCGGCATGCTGCTCACTTGCGTGCTCATGTTCCTAGTGGTGCAGTACCTCACCTGAGCCAGCTGGGCCCGACAGGACAGTGTTCCACTGCAGGAGAGTGTGAGTGTGTGTGGTGGGGGGAAGCCTGAGCCGCCCTTCAGCGTGTATGCCTGCCTTAACTGTGAAGACACTCGGGAGTGACTGTGCCACTTCCGTCCTGCCCTGTGCCGGAGGGAGCCCAGTGTCGCCAGGATGCTCAGTGCTGGAGGGGGTGGAAGAAGTCTGTTGTGGCACGCGCTCTCACTAGGGGAAAAGAGTGGCTCTGGGGGCTTTGTTCACACAGCTGACGGGCACCCTGGGAAGATTTCCGCGGCGGGCCTTGCCCGTGGGCCTGTCCACACCTTGTCATCCTCCAACCTTTCCAGCTACTGAGGCATAGGCTGGCACCAAAGTGACAAGGGGAGGAAAGAAGCCACCTTTTCCTACCCCGTAATAGCTCCTAGCCACCTCCCTCCCTCAAAGTGACACATCCGTTTAACACTCGCGTCCCTCGCTGGACACAGCCACCGAAGGGAAGCTGCTGATGAGTAATAGACTTCCCACACTGCAGTGCTGGATGTCTCCCTTCTCGGGTGAGGCCCACCTCAACCTGGCCTGAGGCCCAGGCACCATCTCCTGACCAGTCAGCCCTTGAGGGTCAGAAACCACAGTGTGGCAGCTGTGCCCAGGCCCTGGGGGGCTCTGTGCCTTAGGAAGCAGCGGAGCACGAGTTGCCACCTGCAGCCTCATCTTCCACCTGGGCGCACCTGCTTCTCTGGCTCTGTGTCCTGGGAACTACCAGGCAGGCTCCTGTTGTGCTCACAGTGAGGGCAGAAGCCCCCTGCCATCACTCTGGTGTGTGTGTCCTAGACATATTTTCAGGGACCAGGACCTTGTTTCTTCTCAGACCAGCCCTGGGTTAAGGGTCTGCCAGTACCCGGTGGATGGTGGAATCTCACTATGAAGTCAATCTGTCTTGAAGTCTGGCTCATGTGATGAGCCACTGAAAGTGCCAGGAAGACCTGGCTGGCATATGTGTTCCTCTGTCACAGGCCCTTCTGGGCCCAGAACACTCTGAATGCCCCAGAAGAACTGGAAGCCCAGACGCTGTTGGCCGCACCTGGCATTGTCTGCCCACCAGCTGGGTCCCTGGGTTGTGTGCTGCCCCCCTTGATCATCTCCTGTGGTCGCCAGAGCGTGTTGATCTCTTCAGGTCCATCTGGGGCACAGCTCCCCTTCTGGGGAATTTTCTTAATTGTCCCAGATTTGTGACAAGTGTTTCCTGGGCACCAATTCCACACTTCTGGTCAATTGGGATCTCCATTGCTTCCACCCTCTAGGCCCAGATTGGGGCCCTAGGAGTCTAAGGAAGGACCCTGACCCCTCTGAGAAGGAATAAAGACTCTGCCAGGCTGGGGACAGTAACTTGAGGGGCCAGCGGGAGGTGCAGCATCAGCTTTAGGGAGGCACAGTCTGAGGCTGCCTCCGTCAGCAGCCCTGCTGTTCCAGGGGCCTCACCCAGGCTCTCGGCCATCACCACTGACAGGTGCCTGAGGATTCCAGGAAACAGTGACAGTATGTGAGGAACACTTGAGCCATTAGGACTTGAACTCTTGGAGGCAGAAACCCCACCTCCACTGGCAGCGGGGACACCTTCTTTGTGGGGTATGCCCATGTTCAGAGCAACTTCTGACTTTGGAATAAATTGTGGAGGTGGTTTGTGGTCTTTCCTGTATGGCTAGGGAACAGCCTCGAATAAGTCTAGAGACCCTGAGGTACTGAGACTGTTTCATTGTGCACCCACCTTCCTTGGCATCGACTTTCAGTGCCCTGTAAAGAGAGTGGTCAGTGCAGTCTTCCACAACTCTGTGAGCAGGGAGGATCCTGGCCGGGGACGGAGCTCCCCCTAGTGAAGTTGAGGTGAACTGCAGCGTGGTGCTGGTGGGAGAAAATGGGGGTGTTTCCTCCATGGGTGGGGACCTTCACTTTGGGCCTTTCCTCCTGAAGCGTTTTACTCTGTTGAGTTTCAATGGGTTTAATTCGCAGACTTGGCTTTACACTCAATTGTTTTTGCAGCACATTAGCTAAATAAAGTTGAGCTTTATTTTACTTAGAAATTTAATTCTGTAAAGGAATTTGATGTTCACTGTAAGAACTAATGACCCCTGTTGGTATGTTTCTAGGCCAGAGATTCTCAAATGCTGTTCTATGGCCAGGGCTGGCCACCTCAAAAGCAGCCATGAAACGTAAAGTTAATGTTCTTGGGGCCTGCCCCAAACCTGAATTAAAACATTTTTCTAAGTCTTGATGTGCTTCTTTCGGGTATGTTTTGGAGCCACCATGTCTTTGGCAAAAAGCTTTGGTCTTCATCATAGCGTTCGAGAGCCTGTGCTTGACTGACTGAGCCCATGTGTGCGCAGAGCAGGGCTTGCTGACTCAGCGGCTGCATCGTCTTCTGTCCAACCTCATTCCAGAAGAGTCGAGACATCACAGTGTGCAGGAGCTGAACTAGAGATGTGGACAGGTGAGGAACAGGGCAGCTCCACACAGAGGAAGGCGATCAGAAACTCTTTTGAAACACTCCACAGACCCAAGGCAGCCGGGTCTCCTCTGGCAGAGGGACACTCTTCGCCTGACCCTGCTCTGTGTGCGTGTGTGTGAGCGCGTGCGTGCGCATACATGCGTGCTCAGTGTGCAGCATGGTTGCTCAGAGAAGCTCAGACCATTTGTGCTGCCTCACCTGTAACCCTTACTGGCCGTGAGGCAAAGTTACTGTCCCATGTGCTTGACTCTCCAAGCTGGGCCCCAAGTTATCCACATTGTGTAGACAAGAGGTCATGCTTTGGTGGCTCTCCACAGGCCCCTGTGGGCCTACGGGGGCTGTGGACTCTGGCCCATTGCCCAGGCTGGCGGGCCTGCTGCCCTTCCCTGGAGGGGCTCTGCTGGCTGTGGTGCAGGCATCGTTGTGTTCCTAAGACCGAAGCAGCAGCCTGTGGTCATCCGGTGTAGTGCTGTTGGGCAGTGTTTGCAGACCATTGTTCCTGTGGCAGGTTCCCTGCTAAAATATCCTAATTGAAGGAGGGCAAAAGGATTTGCAGGGAGCCCTTGGCTGGGGAGTGCAGGGGTACCCACAGGCCTGCCACCAGGGGGCGACGTAAGCCTGTGTGGTGGGTCGCTGGGCAGCTCCACATCCTGAAGAGCTGGAGCAGCTGGCTGTGTTCCTTTCAGCTTCTGGCCACAGGTGACCTTCCAGACCCCCGCTGTTGCCTTTCCTTCCCTTCAGTGCAGGGCCACTTCACACACCAGCTTGGAAAACCCTTTTCCACGTATGCTCAGGGCAAGTATTGCAACAGCCGCTGAGACCTTACCCCACTTTGGAAGATGCATGTTCAAGTCCCAGCTGCTTACCCAACTCCAGGCTCATGTGTGGGGGTCTTGCTGGCTTCAGCCTGGCCCAGCTGTGACCCTTGTGGGCATTTGGGGAGCTCTGTGTTATTTCACGTGGTCCATGAGAGAGGTGGACAGGTTACGCTCCTGGAGGCTTTTGTCTCCCTCAAGCACAATGGAATTCTTCACCGTGGACCCTCCTGCCCTGCCCCTGTGTCCCATGTGAAGGTCTCACACCAACGCCTTCTGACTGATTGGCATGGAATGCGCCCTGGGGCTTTGGAGAAGGAAGGCAGAGTGACAGAACGAGAGGTGGGGATCTGCCATGGGCCGGTTCTCTTCCCCAGTTACCCACAGAATCCAGGGTTTGGCCAGCCTGCAGCTAGGAGCAAGGGACTCTAGGTATCCCAGTGGGTGGCAGGAGCCCAGTACCTACCTCCCTCCCAGGTCCTTTAGCAGGAAGCTAGGTTGGAAGGGAGTAGCAGGAATGCGTGGCTTGCAGCTTACCCAGCTGTTTCCTCTGCAGTGTGCCAGGCTTGCCCCACATCCCCGTGGCCTCCCTGAAACACCTCTGGTTCTGCCTGCTTCCAGAAAGTTCCACTTTCCATCCAGCTCCCTGCCTGTGGCCTGGGAAAGCAGTCAAGGATGGTCCAAAGCCTTGGGACCCTGCACCCGCATGGGAGACCCAGAAAGAAGTTCCTGGCTTCTGATCAGCAAAGTACCGGCCGTAGCAGTCACTTGGGGAGTAAACCATCAGATGGAAGATCTTCCTGTCTGTCTCTCCTATTCTCTGTATATCTGACTTTGTAATAAAAATAAATAAATCTTTTTTAAAAAAAAAAGGGGGGGCCCGGTGCTGTGGTGCAGTGGTTAAGGTCCTTGCCTTGCACGCCTGGGATCCCATATGGGCGCCGGTTCTAATCCCGGCAGCCCTGCTTCCCTTCCAGCTCCCTGCCTGTGACCCGGGAAAGCAGTCGAGGACGGCCCAAGGCTTTGGGACCCTGCACCTGCGTGGGAGACCCAGAAGAGGCTCCTGGCTTCGGATCGGCATAGCATGGGCCGTTGCGCTCACTTGGGGAGTGAATCATCGGACGGAAGATCTTCCTCTCTGTCTCTTCTCTCTGTATATCCGCCTTTCCAATAAAAATAAAATAAATCTTTTTTTAAAAAAAAGAAAGAAACCAAGACAGTGGGCTCCAGAGGAGGGTGGCCCCATGTAGGTGGTCACTCCTGGGTGCTGCCCAAGTTCTTGCTGTTGCTTGCATGCAGTGGATGTGAGTTCTGGGTCCATAGTGACTTCTTCCAGGGAACACTTTGCTTCCTCCTGCCATGGGAGTGGACCACCTCTGGTGCCCTAGTCCAGGAGCCCAGGAGACCGCAGAAGGCAGCTGAATGCCAGAGCCAGCTTTCATCCCTTCTGGGAGGGAGAGGACACCTTGGAGGGACTGTTGACCCTCATGGCCACTGCTGCGCCCTTTTAACATAAAAATGGTGACAAGAGATGTCAGGAAGCGGCAGTTAGGTGCTGAGCCCATGGGTAGACAGCGGGCACTGGCTTTCAGAAGGTGGAGGGTAAGACTGACCCATGGCCAGGATGCTGGGCTGTGGACAGCACTATGCACTCAGTTCTGTAGCAGAAAGGCAGGAAGGCCATGGCATGAGTGCAGACGGAGGAATCCTGCAGACCGTCTTGGAGCCGGAGGCTGGGGCTACGTCCTGGGTCATGTCCTGGGTCCCTAGGCCCCCATGGGAAGGGGAGCAGCAAAAGAGAGGCCTGGCACACCAACAGTGTGGTCTCGCTCCACTCCAATCCTGGCAAAGAGGCCATGTACGCAGACTTGAAGGGCAGTGCCTCTACTGAGGGAACAGAGGAGCTGGGTAGTTGGGGCGTGATAGCCAGCTCTGCCCTGGTGAGCTGTGGGCGCACAGCACCCTGGGCGTGGGTCAGTCCTGCCCTCCACCTGCCCTGCTTTGAGACTTTGAGCAGGCTGCCTCGCCACTTCCCAGCCTGCTCGCTCACCTTGTTGGCATCCATGCACTCGTCCCTCCGTCACCCACAATCTCCCCCTCTCTTCCCATGGGTTTAGTTGCTCCAGCTCAGCTCTGATCCAAATACACTAAATGGAAAATTCCGGAAGTGAACAGTTTGTAAGTGTTAAATTGTGCCTGGTCCTGAGTAGCGTGATGAAATCCCACACTGCCCCCTCGGCTCCTCCCTTTGTTCTGTGGTCTGTGCTGTGGACACCTCCTGCCCGCTACTACCCAGTAGCCAACTTAGCAGATGGGCTCCCAGGGTGGTAGTGCCCACCTTTCCCTTCCCCACCTTTATTTTCCCTGGTACGACTCCAGTGTGCCAGAGCAGGCGTGTGGAGGAGAGCACATCTGCGGGGGTCCCTCAGGACGCTGTGGTACAACGTGCAGGGGGCTCTGCGCCATTTCTGGCTTAGAGGCTTTTGGTCTCCAAGCAGATCCCCTGTGGATCAGAGGGGACCACTGCCTGGCAGCCACAAGTTTTTGTGCTGTTAACATTACCTACACCAGGGTCTGGTCCCTTCTCAGTGAACTGGTGTAAGTCAAGGATCTCGTACTGGCTGAGAGCCCAGTCCTGCATCTGTTAAGAGCCATACGTGTGAGACAACCTATGTTGGACATCTGAGGACCTGAATCCACATCGCCGATGTTCCCTCTCCGCCTCCCTCCTTTCACCTCTGCTCTGAACGGGGATGACAGTAACAGGCTGCTTCTCAACGAGCATGAAGACAAAATGAGCAGCCATGTGCATCATTCAGTAGCCCCAGAAGGACTGCTCTCAGCAAGGCACTGGGGGTCCTGGTGGGCTAGCTCAAGCAGTTTGGGACCTCAGGCTAATGAGGTCAAAACTCCCAGTTTCAAATCCCAGAGAGGAACTGGGGGCTAAAGGTAGCGTAGTGTTTTGCCTAGGGTCTGGGCAGGTGGGGACACTGGCCCTGGCACCTGTGGAGGACACCTCCTCCCAGCCCGCTGCTGGTGCCTTGCTGCTCAGTTCCCAGCGACATCCTCATCACACCTGTCCTGGCCCCAGCTGCATTCTGTGGCCTAGGATGGCCTTGGATTCCTGCCAGGGTGGCCAGATTGGCACCAGAGGTTTCTCTGGTTTAAGTGAGGATGTCTCCCCAGACTCCTCCGATTAGGATGTAAAGGGCATTCAATGTGGCCAGACAACAGCAGCCCCCAGAGGAGGTGAACAGTAGACAGAGGCCATGAGCTGGCTGGAACCACAGGATCCAGAGGTCCCTGCCTGTCGCCCATCACAGAACCCGATGGTGGGTGGCATTCTCTCAGGTCACCACTGGCCCATGTCTCATCTACCCAGTCCCAGTTTCCATGGCAACAGCAAGCTCCCTACCCATCCTTTTCAGCTTTTAAAAGAGTCCTGCCCCAAGAGTGTGAGCCAGGGCATCTGGCCCAATTGCCGTGCCAGCCCCTGGCTCCAGAAAGATCCCAGGGTGGGAAATGAGTTTGGGGGCTCCCACATGGAGCCCCTTCAGGAGGCCTGTGGGAGCCAGCCTGGCTCTTGAAATCTGCATAATCACACCTTAATAATTGGATTAGGCCCCTGCTCCTGTCTGGCCACGTTCCTTCCTGGGGAACCTAGCTTCAGGAGATGGTCCCTGGTGCCTTCCCAGGCCACACAGATACAACAGGGCAGTCCCACAGCTCTCACTGTCCACAGCTGCACAGGGAGGGGAGGCTGGAGTTTGCAGTGGCCCAGGGACATTTGCAGGAGACACCTGCCTGGGGGAAGTACCCACCAGGCCCCAGTTCTCTGCTCTTCCCCTGCACACACCGCTCCCGCGTGCCCAGGCCCAGCCCTCCCCTACCCTGTCAGAAGTCTTCGTCCCTAAAGTGTCAGGCTCTACCTCCTCCCAGGGCAAGCAGC